CAGAAGCAACAGGAATCACAATATCAACAATAACAACTACACCATCAATCGGTACCGGCACCACGACCATTAGTCCGGAAGCTACAGGTGGCGCGACGTCGGAAGCCACAAGTACTCGTTCCGTTGGCACTGATTCTGTGGTCACCACATCGACTTCCACAACTACTAGCACAACCTCTACTACTACGACTTCGCCGATTGGTAAGTTGATAGATTGACTATGATTTTGAAGAACGAGATGGTATTGCATCATGATTGTAGATAGAATAGTCGTTTCAAATTTTGTTCAAAATGTTGAAGGACGGAATCTTGCAATTCTTTTTTGTTATTTTTAGACTGTAGTTTTCAGGAGCGAATTGTATCAGATTGCGTCTTCGATGGTAGTTCTTCCAACGTTTGCAACGACTCCACTAGAGGTACGCAGAGTGTAGAAAGAACATGGATGTGTAGTAATGGCACTAGTTCCGTTGAGACCTTGTCTGTGCTTTGTGTTCCAACTTGTCCAGGTAAGTGTAGAGATCAGTTTGGGACGTAATTCTTGTGTAATTGGTAACGTTTCGGTTTCTCTGTAGTGACCGAAGTCGGTTTTAATTCTACTCCGACAGCAATCAATCTGAACATGCGTATCACCCCGATACCTTTACCTTTTTCCTACCAATACACGAATGAGTCAGTTGCTCACAAAGTTCTCTGGGTAAGAATAATAAAGATATGATTCATCACGAATTGATATACTCTGTAAACAGGTGACAGACAAAGGCTATATAACGCTGGATAAACCCCTTTATGCTATCGAGCCATCACAAAACGAGTTACCAGATATTCCATACATCGCACCGCTTTGGACAAATCTCATGTATGTGAACAGTACAATTATTCAGGTGAGCTTGTATATTTCATTATCCTATGCTTTAATTCGACTGGAATAAATTCATTTCATTAGTCGACCATTTATACTGGATTGTCTAATAACACATCAGAATGGACGAAAGTACAAGACACTGTGGTTAGAGTGAATGAGAACCCGATTAATGAGGAAACAGCAGTATATCGTGTCGTGAAAATACGATGGCAAAACTTATTGACAAACATTGATGGTATTACTACCGGAAACTCTCGATCGAGTTTTGATGTATAAAGCGAAGTACATTTTTTATTTAACTTAAAGTTTCTTTTATCGTAGAGCATTCTATTTGATGCGTATTTGATCAATGGACCTGGAAAAGGATTCACTGTATGGAATTCCTATCTTCGATTTGAATACAATATCGTTACATCTGTTGTAAGTCCGAATTATCAGCCGGTTGTTATCGGTAAGACTACCAGAAGTACAAATCTGGTTTTATTCTTTTTTAACAATCCTTTTTTTTATCACAGGTTATCATACTGAGAGTGCAACCTCGCATAAGTCTAGTGTTTCATTCACAAATAAGATTACTACTTTCATTAACGGTAATTCTTTTTGTTTTTGGAAACTAATAAAAGTTCTTTTCTAGTCACTAATAAGGCGCGAACATATTTTCTAAGTTCGAAGTTGTTGAGTACATGTGAAGCATGGTATTGGAAAAAGTACACAGATATTTTATTTAAACGTACGGCAAATCTTACGTAAGCTTGCTTTACTTTAGCTCAATTTAATAAGCTCATATTTGTTATTAGGACTGTTAAACGAAATCCATGTCCTTGTTCATACCGTCAAGCTTCATTAGATTTTCGATTTTCTGAATCAAGGAGTGAAAATCGTTTAGAAAGAGCCTATAATATATCATGTTTTGTTCCATCAAGTGGTTTTGCACAACGAACCTCAAGTGCAAGATCTTATCAACAGGTGAATAGATCTGAGAAAAAACATAATATTTGTCGTTTAATTTAATACATTATTTAGACATGTTGTTATGATGTCAATGAAGGATCTATAATTACATCTGGTCCATTTGCTGGATCTGTTCTTGATACGGCAGCATTAGAATCATTACGATATAGCGGAAGTCGACCACAACGCATTAAAGAACGGTAAAAATATTTCATTTTTTTTTGTTGTTTCCACTTCGTTACATTTTCTATAATTAATTTCATTTTAGGGATGATTGTTGTATAGCAAGAAATGGTACACTTGATTGGTCTAGATGGTGTAATTTATATTATGAAATTAGACCACCAAGTATATGTGATGGTTATGAAACACCATTAAAAGGTAGATTATTAAATGAATTATATTTTAAACTTAATCTGAATTGTTTTAGCTTGGCTCGGTGGTGATCCACATATAGAAACATCAAGTAATAGTGCTTATAGTTGTAATGTATTCGGTTCATTTATATATGCTGAAACAACTAGTGATGCAAATACAACAGCAAATAATAATACGAATACAAGTTCAACATTTCTAAAAACTTTAGTAAGCAATGAATTATTTTCAATTATTGCTCGAACAAGTAAAACTCCATCACGTTTACGAATTGATCAATTTTTTAATCAATATATAACTTATTTTTCATCATTTTCAATGTATCTTGGATCAAATCGTGATGTAATAATTGATGTTAATATTAATCCATCAGATAGTTATCAACTTAGTAAGAAATATTTTATAATAAATCATTCAGTTAACTATAATTATCATTCTTTTATCTTGAAAAATTTATTTAGATGTAAATTATTTACTTAAAAATGAAAATATTCGAATAAATCCATTTAATTCATCAAATGATTTTGTTAAATATTACTATTATCCACCATCATTGAATGATGCATCAGAATTTGCATTTTCAATAATTAGAGAAAATCAAACAATAACAGCAACTAATTGGAATGTATATAGTTCAGAAAACAGAATCCTACCAGTACAAATTCAAGTACCAAAATTAACTATATCGATTTGGTCTGGTAAGTTAAGATTAGAGATGTGTAGGATAAGCTGTTTTTTCATAGCTTGTAACCTGACTAAAAAAATTTTCTTATCTTTATCCTATCCTGCTCTACCCTGCCGAGTAGGATAATTCTACACATCTGTAGTTAAGATTTTAATTTTAATAAATTTTTTTTGTTAAAATTAATTCTAAATAGGCTTAGCTATGCAATGTTATGTTATAACAAATAATATGGCATGTACATTATTATTACCACAAAAATATTTTGGTAATGTTCGAGGTCTTGCTGTTGGTGATAATACAAGTAATCCAAATCAATATTGTGCTAACTGTATGTATTATTAAGAAAAGAATTTAGGTTTTTTTTTTTTTTCAATGAAGAATTCTTTATTTTTTTTTTTAAAGATTCCCTTATATTAAATGAAACCGAACAACAATCATTAACAAGCAATAGTATTTTAGAATGGTTTAATAGGAGTGCATCTAATACGTATCAAAATTATATAAATAATTTGGCATGTCCAATGAGTAGAACATCGCCAACATACAAATTTTGTGTACAAGATACAATTCTTTCCCAATCACCTCTATTAGGACAAATAACTGTAAAAAGTTCAAATGATTATCAATTAGCTAATCAATTTCTTAGTAATAAAAACACACACATACACACATTTGATATCTTTATTGTTTTTTTTTTGTTTATTCTATTTTTTTTAAGGTAGAAATCCTCCAATGGTGACATTACTATCACCAGCATCATTAAATACGCCATATACATATTTATTAACCATACGATATAATGATACATTTCAAAATCAAACAAATGCAGCTATCAGTGTGAGAATTGATCGAAATTCATCTATTATTGTTCAAATACGTGATGGAAACATGAGTATTCCAATAGATTGTATAAAGCAAAATTCATTTTACTCATGTCCATTCGCATATACAAACGAAAATAGAAATCAACTTCAATTAACGTATGTATCAGAAAATTTTCAAAAGTTTTCACTATCTCCTTTTTTTTGTGGAAATTATTAACAATAATTTTGCAAGTCATGAAACTATACTCAAGGATGTGCTCATCAATACCTATATATACTCATATAGGACATCAACTAATGTTGTTAGAAGTATGAATAAAATAAATGGCAATGAGTAGATATTAGCAAGATGATCCCGGTCTCAGTTCTATCGGAGCCTAGACTGGCCAGCAGTTATCAGCATTTTTCTATAAATCACGTTGTATATCATATCTTCAAATGAAAGGAATTATGCTGAGGTTACGTATCTGATTGAGGGTAACGATGAGAACGACATTTAGAATGAAAGGGTCAAGTGAGACTGAAAGCTGACCATTCATCTGAATTATCACTTTCTTTTCGTACAGTTAAAATGTATTATATATATATATCAATAGATAAATCTGCTGAAGTAAATCCAATAAATTGCGGTAGACCTTCACTTTATCGTTTCGTTGACTTTATGATATGATTCAGAATATTATCTACTTTTTTTTTGTCTTTTGTCTCAGAAATATTCGAAAAAGTAAATAATATCATATGTATAAATTCTATTAAATATTTTTCATTTTATAAAAAATTTATATTAACATATTTTGTTTTAAATTTAAGAATTATTGCACATGATACATTGTATAATTTAATAACTTATCAAAGAATTCAATTAATTGTAAATGAATGTATTTATGGTCAACCAATATGGAATAATCCAACTATTTTATCATCATCGGTTAGCGTTTTATTTTGTATTTGTGATGAATATTCTGTTGGTATGTAATAAATAATGTAGAAAAATAAAAATAAAATAATTCAATTTCACTTCTTATTTTAGGAGAATATTGCGATAGATCAGTTAATTGTGCTGATATGACTGCTTGCCTGTTAAATTTTCTTCCAAATATAACATGTACAACTAATATAACTGAAATATCATTAAATTCTACACAAACACCATATCGATGTGTACATAGCATAACACATATATCTTGTTCGAATGATTCAGCATGTTGTAGACAAGGTTATCAATTTCATAGCGATGTACAACAATGTTTATGTATGAACTATTCTATTTAAAATTAAATTTTTTTTTTTTCTTTATGATTTTTTTTGTTTTTCTAGTTCGACCAGTTTGTAATGATTCGATATGTGGTGCAAATAATACTTGTCAAAATTCTGAACTAAAACCTAATGGATATATTTGCATGTGTAATAGTGATCAAATTTTTAATGGAACAACATGTGTTCGTATGTATTTCTTTTTATGTAGTTAAAGTTATTCAATAAAAAACATATTTGTTTATAATAGAAAAGAAAATTTGTGATGATGCATCATTATATCCAAATAGTATTTTACCATGTACGGGACAATTTGAGGAAGCTATTGATTCAGGAAATCAATGTATATGCCAATGTCGGTTAGATTTCACAAATTCATCAAATGGTTGCATAAGTAGTAAGCTATATAGAATAAAATTAGAAGACAAATAGGTTATTTTTTGTTTTACATTGAATAGCATCGACAAATATTACATGCAATAATACGACTAATGTCTGTTATAATACATTAACACCATTAAATGTTTTCTGTCAATATCGAATACTAACTTACAATAATAGTGCCAATACATGTCAAAGTATAGACTCTAATATTCAATATATTGATTAAATTTAATATAAATATTTTTTAAGACACTCTTTGTTTAAACTATTGTGGAAATGGTAATTGCTCAGTTCGTGAAAATGGATATACTTGTAGTTGTCCTCCTGGAACATATCTTGATTATACGTTAAATTGTGTTGGTAAATAAAAAAAACAGATATATATATATATACATTTATTTATTTATTTATTGAATATATAAATATGATAATATTTATTATTTAGTATGTGAAAATGGATCAGCTGGTCCTAATTGTTCATTACTATGTGATTGTGAATTTGGAGAATGTAATATTAATGCAACAAGTGAAACAAATAAATGTTTATGTGCAAGTGGTTATAGAGGTTCAAAATGTGATCAACAAATTAATTATTGTGATCCACGTATATTATTCAATTTAATATTTAATTTATTAAATTTTATTTTATTTTATTTTTTCGTTCAGAGAACGATTCTTGTAATGCAGTTGCAACAAATCGAGTTTGTAAACTTACACCAACTAATCGTGATACATTTAAACAAATGAATGCTTATGATTGTATTTGTAAAAATGGATATCAACCAGCATCAGTAAATGGTAGTTGTCAAGGTATTAGTTTTTAAAATAAACAAAACGACAAAAAAAAACAGATGTTCATTGTTTTTGTTATAGATATTGATGAATGTGAACTGGCTTCTACCAAAGAAAATATTTGTTCAGAGGATACGACATCATGTCATAATTTAAATGGTTCATATCTTTGTGTTTGTAATGAAGGTTATGTAAAAGATGATGCAGGAGTAAATAAAAAAAAAAAAAAACTATCATTGAAATTTTATTTATATGAAATATTTGTTTTATTTTTATTTTCAAGAATACTGATGCATGTGTTGATAAAAATGAATGTACAACTAATGCGTCTGTATGTAGACCATATAACAATTCCTATTGTGTTAATCTTAGACCAGGTTATGAATGTCGTTGTTTGTTTGGTTATGCACCAGATGGTAATTATCTTGTTTTTTTGAAAAACAAAAACATCTTATTTATTTATTTATTTTGTTTTTAAATAAAAATTTAATTTATTTAAGGTGATTATAATCAAATTTATGTAGCTTTACAAGGTAATCAAACATGTCAAATTTATGATCAATGTGCTGCAAATCGTGTTGATTGTGGTGGTGGAACATGTACTAATAATACAAATTTAAATGGCTCATTACCTACTTGTTATTGTAGTAATTCATTAACACTTATTCAACTATCTATAGGAAAATATGACTGTATTTGTCCATCTAATACACATTATTATAATGGAGGAATATGTACAATTCGACCTGATCCTGGATTAGGTAATATTCTATTTGATAAGAATTCTTCTTTTTCTTAAATTTATATTAAATATTTTTAATAAAAAAAGGTCTTGGTGGAGAATCAATATTTCTTGTTAAAGTCGATTGTAATAATGCAACTGCTATACTCAATGAAGTATGATTTTGTTTTTTCTATCTTTAAATATTATTGTATTATATACTTTTTAAAATAGATAATAAGAAGATTTAATGAAACATTCAAATCTCCATACAACATTACAATTCGAAACAATACAGCGGAGTATGTAAAAATATATATTTAAAAAAAATAATAAACAACTAAATAATACAAAATAAATATTTATTTTTCAATTTAGTTGTGATGAATCGGGTCAACAAGAGTTATTATTTGATATTAAAACTGATGACAATATAACATTACAAAATGATGTCTTCGAAATACTTGAAAATATAACAAGAGATCTTAATCTTGTTCTTTATACTACTGGTATATGTAACAATAGAACAGGTAAATAATCATTTTCTATTTATATAGATCTTATTTTTAACGAACTGAATTTTTATTTAAATTGATTCTACTATAATCTATAATTTTCTTAACTCTTACAATAATATCACTTTTAATATTATTCTTCTACTTGAAGATTATAACTATTGATATAATTAAAAAATTTGATCTTTATTGAGATATACTACTATTGTATAGTCTAGCAGAAAACAATGTAATTTTGTGTTTGAACTTAATTTGGACTACTTTAAACTATTTAAAAATCTCTCCAGTTATTTACAACTACTTTAAAATTTCATAATATAACCGCAATGGCACATTCTAGATATTATGACTGTAAATCATTTTGTTTCTGTTAATCAATTATATAACAAAAAAAAACTAAATCTTCATCACTTTAAATTAATCGGATACTCAGTCGACCAGTTAGAACTACGACTAGTGCATACTTTTAAAAAAACAAAAAGCTCAATACATATAAGATAAAAAGAAAATTATAGAAATATTTAAAAGAAACAAGATAAAAAAGAAAAACATAGATGATCCTCGAAGGAACATCGTACGTCAAGTCGAAAAGTATTTTAAAGTACATTTCCATACTTTGAACTACTATTGTAGTTTGATGTATTCTTCGACTTGAAGTATACTGTTTCCCTCTAGTACACACTTTATAAGATAATGAATTTTACTAGGACGGCTTTATTGCAAATGTACTAGTGATAGTTATGTGAATCGACATATTATTTTCATACTTTACTCTATGATGAAAGTACAACACTCTAAATATAATTAGAGAGTAAAGTAGATTAATAAGAATGTTGTATTTCTTCGTACAATATACAGATCATAATCTATATATATATATATTCAAAAGTTTTTTTTGTCATTCAGATGGTTTTTCTTTCACTTAAATTAATCTTGCTAAAATTTTGCTTGATGACTATTTTTATTTTGATATTTAGAATTAGTGAAAAATGTCACATCATGTTATTTAATTGATCTATGTGATCTATGTGGTGGAGATATAAAACGTGGTATATGTTTACCAGAAAGTGGTTTAAGTAGATGTATATGTTTTTCTAATGATGCTGATCTATCAAGACCGTATACTGGTGAATTTTGTTATCCTGTAGAACCAACATCAACATCAACTTCATCTCCACCTTTATCTTCATCTTCATCTTCACGTTGGATACCAATTGTTGTTGGTGTTCTAGCTGGTCTTGCTGGTTTATTTTGTGCTGTCACATGTTGTTTATTAGCTTTAGCTGCTTGGCGTCGTCGAAGACGACATCCACCTGATGAGTAAGTTTTGATTCTTTTTTCTTTCTCTATTTTAAAAATTCATATGAAAAAAAACAACACTCATAATTAAATAGAGATGAATTACGAATTCGTCGTATTTGGCATTTACCAAGAGCACAAGTACCAGCAACTGTTACAGCTGAAAATGTTGAAACATATTTAAAGAGTACTTCATCTTCTACGAATTCAACATCAAGTCCACCTGAAGATTCAACATTAGATAGTGATCGTTCAACATATCGAACAACTTATGATTATGATCCAAATGGTACTGTAAATAGTGCATTTTTTAAACAACTTGATCAAAATATGGGTGCAAAATTACGTGCAACAATAACAAGACCTGATACAAATGCTATTTTATCAAGTTTACCAACTTCAACAACAAAATCATCATCATCATCAACAAATATAACATCAAATAGTGATGATCCAATTGATGAACTTGATGCTATTATTGATGATGAAGATATAGCAATGACATTTCATGATCCATTAGATGATCTTTTTCAAGATAATCAAATGCTTGAAGTTATTAATCCAAATTTAAAATTACCACGTCCACAAATTGATTCAAAACCAACAGGTCTTTTTTCGGTAAGATATTTTCTTGTTCTTATTTTTATTTTTCATCTTTATCTATTTCGTTTTTTTCTTTTTTTTGTTTAGCTTTTAAATTGATATTGATAAAGTGCGGGTCGCTTCAAAAAAAACAAAGTGCTTATTATAGGTTTTCTTTTGGTGATATTTCTCACTGGTGATCTTTTTCTTTTTGATTTTATTCATAAGCACATCTATCTGTTGTGTTTTGTTTTATTCTATTACTAATCCCTGTGAATTTAACACTTTTCCTTTATTTTCATTCTTTTTTTTTGTGTTGTAATCTCTTCGTGTAATATTATTAAAAAAAACAAAAAAAAAAAAAAGCAAAGTGCAAGAGAATATAAATCAAATAAATAATCATTTATTATTAAGAAAAATAATAAATATCATTCCATTTTAATTCATCTATTATTATTTTACCATTAATAACAGTACATTCAAGATTATCAATAATGTCAGCAACATTTCGTATATATTCAAATGTTGTTGCTTAACTATAATAGGTATAATATATACCACCAGATAAAATCTATTCTGTCTATGTTGTTCTTATATCAGATTTTGGTTTCCAAAAAACACATTTCACAAGTAAATTTGATAAAGGATATAATCATTCAATAGCATATTTCGAGTATATAAACATCAAGTACTATTTCATTATTTGTTTCCAAATAATATGTATAATCTATCATAAATGAATAATCACCTTTATTTAAATCAATACTCATTACTTTAAGAACTCGAACAATCGCTGCAGTTTTCTAATCACCTTCAACACTAAATCCATAATCATCTTTCATTAATCGTTGTACAGCAATTTCGGGTTATTATCGAAGATCAAGAAGATCTAAATTAGTTGAAGATATATATAAAAATGTTTTGAAAAGAAAAAATAATATTCAATTTAAATGTATCCGTAAAATCTTTATAGTTTTCTTTTTCAAGAAATTTTTAAAGATCAAGTTCAATTTTAGCTGCTTCTCTTAATGATTGATGTTTTTCATTTTTTGTTTTTAATTCATTAACTATTCTATATTGTTATTCATATTCTTGACATCATTTATCAATATCATTTTCATTAACTTGTTCAATTTCTTTTTTTAAATCATTAATACTATATGTATTTACTAGATAACCAAATTTAAGTTCAGCTTCAACTTTATCACCTTAAGTAGCGGATATATTATGCATTTTATCATCAAACTATGTACTTTGTCAATCAGTCCAAGTACATGCTGCACATATCCATATATTTAAATGTTCTCTCACTTGTTTTTTCTTTTCAATAGAAATATTTCAAAATTATCTGACCAAACCTTTCGATTATTTTATCCTCATTGAATATTTTTGATATACTAAAAATAAACGAAAATTATTAAATATGGATATATATTGAAATAACAAGTTATCGCAGCTTATTAATTTGACAGAATGTTCATTCATTTTTCAGCCTCTTAAAAGCGCCTACAAAAGTTTGAAAATATTAAGTTTATATCGAAATTTGATGTTGTTTTCGAATATTGGTAAAACATTTTTTTGAGGACTTTTCACTAAGAAATTATGAGTCAATCTTTTATAGGCGCGAAAATTAAGTTTAGATAAAGAAAACCCATGCTTTTTCTACAACAATAATCTACTTCATTGTATACGTTATATTAACAGTCTGTCTGGCATAGAATTAAATGCAAAATGATTCTACAAAATGATATAAGCATCAAGAGTTGCAGAATAATCATTCAGACATGGCCAAGTTCAGTTTGAAAGTCTGTTTATCGTAGAAATCAAGAAAATGACCTAAATTAACACAATGTCCTTTACTTGAACATTCACTGTTGACAAATGACTTGCAGCAAACTATTCATTAGTATACTATTTTATAGAGAAATGCTTGCTCTTTCATTTGTTGTATTTGAAATAATTTGTGCTTCTACTTTGGATAAGTTTTGGCGCGCTAAAATTTTTGATATTGACCCACCGTTCTTAAATTTCTACAGATTTCTTACAGAAGCTGAAAAATGAACAAACATTTTGTTAAATTACTTTTCGATAGTCCATTATGTGCAGACAATATCTAAGTTTTCTTTTTATTTTTTTCATTCATTTTATTTTTTCGATCTACGAAATCATTTAGAGCCAACTCTGACTAATTGTTATTTGAGATAAGAAAGAAGAATTATCACTTCTAGTGAACATTATTAAGCTCCAATTTATTTGATAAAATTGACGAAGATATCCATAATAAAGAACATAATACATTAACCTTTGTTTCTAGTCAATTTTTACACTTTTAATTATATAATAAGCAGTTACAGAAAACTTCAAAGACTCTATGCTGATAGAAAGCAATTAAATAGCATATGACTG